TGAGTAAATCAACATATATAGGCTGAAACATCACCCCAGGCTTAGAATAATTGAGAATTATTCTAAGAATCCAATATCTAATAATGTTCCAATATCTCAGGGGTTGCCCCAAAGAGGAGGGAGTCAAGCTATTCTCCAAAGCACCTGAGAGCAGGACAAGAAGCAATGGGTGGAAATTAATCAAGGAGAGAAGCAACCTAGAACTAAGGAGAAATTTCCTGACAGTTCGAACAATTAATCAGTGGAACAGCTTGCCTCCAGAAATGGTGGGTGCTCCAAGATTGGAGGTGTTTAAAAAGAGATTGGACAACTATTTATCTGAAATGGTATAGTGTTTCCTGCTTGAAGGGGGGGATGGACTACAGGACCTTCAAGGTCCCTTTCAAATCTGTTACTCCATTATGTCATTTTAAAAACATTTGCTTTAAAAAACTTTCAAGCCAATTAAAACACATTTAAAGTTAAAGTTGCATTGAGAAAAAGCTTTAAAAAAGAATTAAAATGGAACAAGAAGTCTTGAGGAATGCCAACGGAGGAGGTATCCTAACAAACAACTCCCATGGGGAGAAGATCGAAGGTCTCCTGGCTGGACAATCCAAGGACAGTGAAAAATCATCCTCTTATTTTATGACTTACAGAGCTTTGATTAATATTGCTGGTGATATTTACATATCACTTGGATCTAAAAGCAATCTGTGCTGTCAAAATGATATAATTCAGTTACTTTAAATAACCAATGAACTTATAACCTAGTTCCATGATGCTAGAAAATGTGATTGCTTGTGAGGTTTTTAAAAAATGCTACATGCACAGGAAAAAGAAAGTTTTGTGGTGCCTGAACATGGAGCCGATACCTAAACTTCAAACCAGCGGGGGAAATACGCAGCCTGGCTGAGGCTGATGGACCTTGTAGTCTAGCCCGTGAAGACAATGCCAAACAAAGGGAAGATTGCTTAGTGCATTGCTTCTTCCAATAGCCTCTCAACTACTCCCCAAAATATTGGGATCCTCCCTGCTCTCTTTTATTTTTCCTTTGTTGACTTTATGATCCATTACAAAAAAAGAAAAAAAGAGAGAGAGAGAAAATGGGAGAAAGGAAGAAAGGGAGCAAGTGCCAGCAATGTTTCCCCAGCTCGGTGTTTCCTAACTAAAGATAGTTATTGATGTACAACGCCGGCCTTTTACTGTGGCAGAAGAATCAATAAAGAAGGAAATACTGCTTTGTCAAGAGTAGCCCAAGTACTGTAGGCTTGCTGGGAAATTCTTTAGTGGCTCTGGGATGCCCACAGAAGCTTAAAAAAATCCTTCTATATATCCATTGACAGCATGGGCACCATGTGCTGAGACCTGACTGCCCTCTAGTGGCAGCAATACACAATGACAAAAGCCTGTACAGGATTTCTCCTTCCCTAATCTTTCCTTGTAGGAGTGACAATTTTATTTTCCTGGGCTCCAAGATCACCGCAGATGGGGACTGCAGCCAAGAAATTAAAAGACGCTTGCACCTGGGGAGGAAAGTTTTTGGAAATCTAGACAGCATTCTAAAAACCCTGCCAACAAAAGTGTGTATAGTCAAGGCTATGGTTTTCCCAGTTGTAATGGATGGTTATGAAGGTTGGACCATAAGAAAGGATGAGCACCAAAGAATGGAGGCCTTTGAACTCTGGTGCTGGAGAAGACTCCTGCGAATCCCTTGGACTGCAAGGCCATCCAACTGGTCAGTCCTAGAGGACATCAACCCTGACTGCACTTTAGAAGGCCAGCTCCTGAAGATGAAACTCAAAATACTTTGGCCACCTAATGAGAAGGAAGGACTCACTGGAGAAGAGCATAATGCTGGGAAGGATTGAGGGAAAAAGGAGAAGGGGATGGCAGAGAATGAGGTGGATGGATGGAGTCACTGAAGCAGTTGGAGTGAGCTTCAATGGACTCCAGAGGATGGTAGAGGACAGGAAGGCCTGGGGGAACGTTGTCCATGGGGTCGCGATGGGTCAGACACAACTTCACGACTAACAGCAACAAACAAAAATTCTTCCTTTCTGTTTTGTAAGAATGACTAAAAGGACTTCCCAATACCTAGGTCAGTGTTTCTCAACCTTGGCAACTTGAAGATGTCTGGACTTCAACTCCCAGAATTCCCCAGCCAGCATTCCAAGTTGCCAAGGTTGAGAAACATTGACCTAGTGTATAAAGTTAGCACCCACCTCACTCCTAGAAAAATGAAATACTTTGAGAAATATTTAAAAGGCAGAATGTTATATTTCCCCTAAAAGAAAAATAGAAATCTTAAGGGAGACAGAAACTCAGGAGCCTCAGTTCTCTACCCCAAGTAGAAACCAAGAGGCCAACTTTTAGAAATGCAGGTTTGGTGATCCATTCAAGACAGAATTAAAACCAATGATGAAATTCAAAGTTTTTTACTACCGGTTCTGTGGGCGTGGCTTGGTGAGCCTGGCAGGGGAAGGATCCTGCAAAATCTCAAGGAAGGAAGGAATAGAAAAAGGAGGAGGAAATAAGGAATACAGAAGGAAGGAAGGAGAGAGGGAAGGAAGGAAAGAAAGAAAGAAGGGCCATATGAATCAAAGCGAAACAAAACAAGACAAGGTTTGAGTCCTACTAAAAACAGAAAAACCTAGAAGATTGATTTAATTAACTGCATAATTATTGATGAAGCTCTGTTAATACAACAAAACCCACATTTTCTCCCTCTGCAACATTAAACATGTCGCTTTGATGGTAACTTTTGAAGGGACCAATTCTCTTTCACCTGGCAAACCTTCCCAGAGGCATCCTCTTTGCCTCCTCGGAAGCTTCAGAGAGAAGCTAAAGAGGAACAGAAAGCGAGAGACAACCTTTAAAAAAAAAACACCCTTCTATTCCACTGGTTTTAAATTCCAGGAATCTCCTTGTAGATTCCGTGTGGATTTGATCTGTGCTAAATCTTCCCCGGCGCATTAATACATGTGATGTATTATTGATAGACTGCAATCCTTAAAAAAAGGATAGAAATATAAGGCTGACATCGCAACATATGTTCTCCTACCCCCGAATCTGCCAGACGTACTGACAGATTTCGGTAGGCCTGCTTCCAATTTAGAACAACTTCACACAAGACACCGAATTCTTGCTATGGAAGGGCTGACAGGAGCTCCTCGCTTGGCAGTGCTGACAACGTTTGATGCTGAAAAAGAAGCTTCTGGAAAGAAGACGCTCAGCAAAATGGACCTCCATCTGCATTCAACGTACCCATTTCTGCTTCTCATTACTACAAGCAGCTGGCTGGCTTTTTTTTTCCAGCTGAAGGGGGAAAAAAACACAAACCCACAATAACAGAACTATGGGGACAAAGAATGTGTTACCTTCGGTACAGAGCATCTCCTTCGGTTTGGCCATCGCTGCATGCACACACACCCCAGAAGTGCAACAGGGGACATCCAAGAGAGGATCCGCAAAACAAAAATGAGAGAGAGGGAGGGGGAGAGGGAGGGGAAAGGAGAGGGAGGGAAGGAGGGAGAGAGAGGGAGGCAAGGAGGGAGAGGGAGGGAGAGAGGGAGGGGAAAGGAGAGGGAGGGAAGGAGGGAGAGAGAGGGAGGCAAGGAGGGAGAGGGAGAGAGCAGGAGAGAGAGGGGGGAGGGAGGGAGAGAAGAAGGGAGGGAGAGAGGAAGGGATGGAGGGAGGGAGAGGGAGAAAGAGAGAGGGGCAGGGATAGTTAGTAATCATATGAGCTAAAAAAAATCTACTTTATTCTCTGACAGTCAAGTCCCACTTCAAATATTGTTCCACGTTTGCGCGTATTTCAAGAATACATCTGGGAAACAGCTGGAGCCTGTTCCCAGTGTGCGCATGCGCAGACGAAGGGAACAGCTAACTTACTTGGGAATAAGGCCACAGGTGGACGATGAATGGCCCCTCCCAGAGGAAATAAAAGAGGAGCGAAAGGGGAGTGGAGTTTGCAGGAGACAATCAGTTCGCTTCATTGGTTTGTGACTCTCCGAGACTCTTTGCCAAGTTTTGCAGATATCGGCCTGGCATCTCTCCAAGCCAGATAAGGTCTGTGACTGAACCCTTGAAAGAATTTGCTGGATGTGAATGAGCAGAATTCACAGTAACTTAATCAAAAGGATTTGTTGTCAGGACAAGGAGTCTGCTTCGTGGTTTGGGGAAGCCTAGGTCAGAACAGCTGCAATAGTTGGAATCTGACTGAGCTTCCTCCTCCATAAATGATAGGACTACAATTCAGTGCAGATGTGTCGCTGAAGAATCGGTAATTCTCACCAATCCTTTTTACTACCTCTCTCCAGCATCTGTTTCCGCACTGTTTTGGGAATGTAAGAACCTTCGAAACGGCTACTCAGGGAGCCCAGAACGTTATAGTAGTAAGTAAATATTAAAAATGGCTCCCCGTATCCTCCAGCAGAGCAACCCGTGAGTGATGCTCTGTTCCCAACAGTCTGAATCCAACTATAATGGCTTTCTCGGAGCTTGGGAAAAAAGCCGACGGCTTGCGAAATATTACAAACATCGAACACCTGCAGATTCTGGCTGCAGAGAGAGATAGTACTTAGGCTAGCTCTTCTTCGCCTTAACATCCAAAGCCCATCCTTTAGATCAGGAAACCTTCCAATTCTGTCATTCTATTATTCATTCACACTTTTAGTTCAGTGATATCAACTCTGTCCTCAGCAGGATGAAGTGCCTGATGGATTTTATCTGGCATTAGAAGTTAAGCAGTGGGGACATGGGGGCTCAGTGGCTAAGACACTGAGCTTGTCGATCAGAAAGGAGGGCAATTCAGCAGTTCGAATCCCTAGCATCGCATAATGGAGAGAGCTCCCGTTACTTGTCCCAGCTTCTGCCAACCTAGCAGTTCGAAAGCACGTAAAAAATGGAAGTAGAAAAATAGGAACCACTTTTGGTGGGAAAGTAACAGTGTTCCGTGTGCCTTCGGCGTTGAGCCATGCTGGCCACATGACCACGGAGACGTCTTCGGACAGCGCTGGCTCTTCGGCTTTGAAACAGAGATGAGCACCGCCCCCTAGAGTCGCGAACGACTAGCACATATCTGCAAGGGGAACCTTTACCTTAGAGGTTAAGTGGCATCCAATGTAGTTGGAACTTGGATGAAAGAGCCTCAGCCAATCTCATATATCTACATCTCTTCAGGACATGCAGGCAAGTAAAATTATGCCATGGAAGAAAAGGATAAACATCTTGAGGCTGTTGCCAAGAAAACTATGCCGATGTGTTCATGAAGCCACTAGGAAGGCAGTGACAAGCAGTGGCTTTTCCTTACTGGATCCCAATAGTTGTACAATGATACATTGATACTCCACTGCTTTGAAACGCCTCTAAGTTGGTACTCAACGCATTTTGATGTGGCACTCATCACTTGTTTGGTAGTCAACGCACAAGCAAGAACTTGTCTGTCTCACTACGTTATTCCTTATGGGAAAAATGTGTTTGGTACCCATTGTTTTTGGTACTCATTATTTTTGGTACTCATCGTGCCTCCCAGAACCAATTAATGAGGAGTACTGAGGTATCACTGTAGTATGAATTTGCACCACAACACACAACCACAGATGCCAGCCCTGTGTCCATCTCTTCCTTCCTACCAGGAAACCCAGAATGGCTCTGATGATCTTACTTACATTTCTTTTAATATCGCACGACTTCACAACAAGTCTTAAATTCAGCACAATCACGCCCATGTCATCCTCCAAGCTGTTTGGGTCTTCCAGTTTAAGAATCCTCTCAGTAGTCCTGGATGAGAAAAAGAAAATTACACAGAGCTAACAACCAGAATCAACCAAAAGCCGTCTTTAAGGGTGTCATCCAGATCATAGTTGTCCCAAAGGGGCTTTTTCAAGAGGCAACTGACTTCCTGGTTTTCCTTTACTTTTCATCCAAGAAAACTTCTTCCTTAAGAAGCTTCTTGGATGAGAAGTGAAACGTCTTCAAAGAAAAACCAGAAAGTCCAGTTGCCTCTTGAAAAAACACCTTTGGGACAAAAAGGCTTATATTTATTTTAAGAGCAAGACACTGAAAAAGGCTCAAATATTCACCGAGCCATATAGGCTGCAACAGAACCGAGCACTTTAAGTGCTCTGTAATAGATAACTGCATTTCGAAAGAAAAATATATATACCAGTAAGTGTTGGATTACCTGTTTAGTTCCAGTTTGTGAAGTATTAGGACTGCTGAACCCATAAAATCAGAAGAAGTCAAGTCTCTATCGTAAACCTGAGAAGAGGAGGAGAAAGGGGCGGAAAAATACAGATCTGATTATCTGAAAATAATTTCAGGTTCGCCTTATTATTAGTTCAGTGTCAGCCAATGAAACTGCACCAATCATGACTATAACAAACAAGAATAAGATTACCATCTCTGCAATCATGACTTTGTTTTTTGCTGCTATCACTGATTGAACTATTCCCAAAAATAGACACCACATTTCCACAAATCAATGTCTTGTTTTTTTCCCCTCCTTTCCAAGTGCCACCTTTTTACCTATTACAAACCAAGAGGGGTTTGCACAAGTTACCAGTGAGCCAGCACAATTTACTCATTATTTATTTTTACAACTGTAGTTCTGGAAACTAAATAGGCCCATGTTTTAGGACGAGAGATACTTCAAGTATTTATGGTTCCCCTAAAACTGCCATGTTTGCCTCCTTCAGACAGGTAGGCCCAAACCAACTAAAACAGAGTTAGGCCCATAAAGTCTTCTGAATTATTATCATTATCATCATTTCCATTTAATGACAACCCCATAATCCCTTGTGGGGTGGAGTCTGGGCAACTGAATGGAGGCTAGCAGAGTATTTTAATGGCCAGATGCCCTTCCTGTCACCAGTGCGGAGTTTTGTTCAGCAGAAATTTTCTCGGTGAGCCCAGAGAGAGAAATATCTGCCTCTACCTAGGATGGAACTCGCCACCTCCTGATTTTGAGGCAAGAGCGCCACCTCTAGGCCACCGCACCACTCACCAGAATGTTTTCTGAATGTCCCCACCTAATTTGGAGTTGGAAAGAGTTAGGACACATTTTCTTGGAAAGAGAGAGTAGAGGTTTTCTAGTAGGGAGTATACTCGTATGGAAAAGATCTTTGCAAGCTGGTTCCACCTGCGATCCTTCCCTGACACTTAACAGAGGTGTGGGAAGCCAAAAGGCGGCCAATTCCCCAGTTTGGGAAGCATTAGAATTGCTGAACCCACCAAATCAGAAGAAGTCAAGTCTGATCATACAGCTGATCCATCTGGAATGGGAGAAGAGGGAGTGGAACAGAGGTGGAATCCTATGGGTTCGGACTGGTTCAGCCGAGTAGGTAGTAACTCAGCCTGCCACGCCCCCAAATTGGTTCTAACAGCGGCGGCACCATCTTCATTTTTGGTTCTGCGCATACGCAGAACAATCTTCATTGCAAAAAATGTAATTTTTCCCCTTTTATAACGTGCGCATGCGCAGACCTTTTTAGGTGCAAATGCACACATGCGCAGAACACGCTTTTGACATACACACTTGTTTCACACACATGTGTGCTCAAAAAGATTTTTGCCCGCCAAACCAGCAGTAATCCGGCAGCAACCCACCTCTGGAGTGGAAGCAAAAATAGAGATCTGGTTGTCGTAAAATAATTTCAGGTTGGAGTTTTTTAGTTCCATGTTTGCCAATGAAACTGAACCAGGTCCCCAAATGGTTGGAAATGCAAACAAATATCTGGTACATATTACTACATGTGGTGGACCTGCATAAAGGCAAGGAAATTTTGGACGCAAATCCATATGTGCTTAGAAAGAAATGACCAGACAACATATAGAATTTAAGCCAGAATTTTTTATTGCGCATTATATCAGATGATTATGATAAAGGGACAATATATCTAATATTACACATCTTGACCGCAGCAATGGAAGAATGAAAACACCCCTTCAGAGGAGACGATAAGGAAGATAGTAGCCTGTGCGGAAATGGCCAGACTAATGCAAAAAATAAATGATAAAGGAGATACAGAATACTATTTAAGACGGAATAGATTCTATCAATGGTTAGAAACATAAGGTAGAAGTTGGAATGTGAAAGAATCAGGTTAGATGGACATGGAAAGAAATATTATGTATGTAATAAGATTAAAGTTCCTCTCACACATATGTGTTAATCATTCCTGACTCTAGGGGGCGGTACTCATCTCCGTTTCAAAGCCGAAGAGCCAGCGCTGTCCAAAGACGCCTCCATGGTCATGTGGCTGGCATGATTAAATGTCAAAAGTGCACAGAACGTTGTTACCTTCCCACCAAAGGTGGCTCATATTTTTCTACTTGCATTTTGTTATGTGCTTTTGAACTGCTAGGTTGGCAGAAGCTGGGACAAGTCACGGGAGCTCACGTTCTTACACATTGCTAGGGATTCGAACCGCCAAACTGCCAACCTTTCTGATCGACAAGCTCAGCATCTTAGCCACTGAGCCACCGTGTCCCGTGTATGTAGGTATTAGAATGATAGATAAGTTGACATACTAGAATATGATGGTCAGAAACTATTGCACAACACTAGCATTGTTTAAAATAGTAATTATGTTATTTTGTTTTTACTTTTGGTTTATGGTAAGTGGAATGCCAGGACAATTACACTATTCAATATATTTATATGTAAACAATAAAAATATATCTAAAAAAAAAAAGAAACTGAACCAATGTTAATGTAACACAAAAAGGAGTAAGTTCTTGGTCTCAGGAGCAGTGATTTATCTCCAATTCGGCAGGATTCTCTTGGGTTCAGAAGCAAGGATCACGTCAGTAGGAGTATTGTACTGAGTACAGCCACAGTGGCACAGTGGTTAGACTTAGAAGGCTACTTCTGCTGATCACCGACTGCCAGCAGTTTGGCAGTTCAAATCTCACCAGGCTCAAGGTTGACTCATCCTTCCGAGGTGGGTAAAATGAAAACCCAAATTGTTGGGGGGCAAGAGGCTGGCTCTGTAAATCGCTTAGAGAGGGCTGGAAAGTACTGTAAAACGGTATATAAGTCTAAGTGCTATTGCTATCTGCCTCCGTCCCTCCTTCCTTCCTTCTTTCCTTCCCTCTCTTCTCCTTCCTTCCTTCCTTCCTTCCTTCCTTCCTTCCTTCCATACATCCCTCCTTCCCAGTGGTTAGAAGGCAGTATTGAAAGCTAACTCTGCCAACTGCCAGGGGTTCGATCCTGACCAGCTGAAGGTTGACTCAACCATCCATCCTTCCGAGGTGGGTAAAATGAAGACCCAAATTGTTGGGGGGCAAGAGGCTGGCTCTATAAACCACTTAAGAGAGGGCTGTAAAGCACTGTGAAGCAGTATATAAGTCTAAGTGCTATTGCTGGTGCTATTGAAGACAGTCTAAATCCGTGAATTAATCCAAGACCCCATAAGAAAAGAACATAACATGAATACTCAAGAATACAAGAATACTACGTGGCAAGGAAAGAAAGGTTGTGAGCCCATTCAGTCAGTCAGGGGACCCCAAAGAGATCATGGTAGATGGTCCTCTTCAAAGCCACCACCCACTCAGTTAGGTCTTCACTGAAGATATGATATAGCCTCTGGACCATCTTTATAGACATCTGTTTCCCATTTTTCATCCTACTGGAATTTACCAAGGACAAGTCTATCTTATCTTATGTTTGGAATGTGCCATCTGGTTTTGCCAAAAACCACCAAGGATAAGGAGGATTTGTTTATACCAGATGTTGATGAGACAGTCTCAAGCTTATGGAACATCTGTTTCCCAAGGTTTGGAGTTTTAAGATGACAAGATCACCCTACTCTACAGAGATGTCCCACCAAGGACAGGGCAGAACAAAGCATCGATGGAGTTTAAGAAAGTGTTTTTCCCAGTGGGTGTCAATCAATCCTGGACTTTTTTTTTCTTTTTGCCAGGCAAGTACAGGTAATCCTCGACTTACATCAGTTCATTTAGTGACCGTTCAAAGTTACTGTCAGCCCTGGAAGCCATATTTTCCTTGGAGCTTCAGAGCTGCCACACTCACTACCCTGGGTTAGTAAATGGGAGGGGGGGTTGCAAGGAGTTGGTGGAGACCATAAGATAACAACATAACAATAACAACATTCATTTCTCTGGGAGTCAAGGACATTCAGCCTGCGCCTGGAATGGTGATTGTCTCCAGTTGGGAGGATGAATTGATTGAACCAAGTGATGGACTGGTAGGTCCAGGGGATGGATCTTTCTTTTGGGTGGGTTAGGCTTTCAGTTTCGGGTTTTCCCAGATGTGCCAATATGAGGCAAATCTAGACTGTATCCTAAAAAGCAGAGACATCACCCTGCCAATAAAAGTGCATATAGTCAAGGCTATGGTTTTCCCAGTTGCTATGTATGGCTGTGAAGGTTGGACCAGAAGGAAGGCTGAGCGCCAAAGAATGGAGGCCTTTGAACTCTGGTGCTGGAGAAGACTCCTGCGAGTCCCTTGGACTGCAATCCAACTGGTCAGTCCTAGAGAAGATCAACCCTGACTGCCCTTTAGAAGGCCAGATCCTGAAGAGGAAACTCAAATACTTTGCCCACCTAATGAGAAGGAAGGACTCCCCAGAGAAGAGCCTAATGCTGGGAAGGATGGAGGGCAAAAGAAGAAGGGGACGGCAGAGAATGAGGTGGCTGGATGGGTCACTGAAGCAGTAGGCCTGAGCATAAATAGACTCCAGAGGATGGTGGAGAACAGGAAGGCCTGGAGGAACCTTGTCCGTGGAGTCGCGATGGGTTGGACACGACTTTGCAACTAACAACAACAACAACAATAAAATGTAATGAGGAATTGCTAGCCTTGGAGTCTTCTTTCATTGGGGGTGTTACTTGGAACCCTGATAGTTACAACAACACTGAAAAAAGTGATTTATGGCCATTTTTCAAACTTACGACCATTGCAGTATCCCCTGGTGACATGATCAAAATTGAAAGTGTTTGACCGCTGACTCATACTTATGACCGTTGCTGTGTCCCAGGGTCACATGATCTCCTTTTGCGACCTTCTGACAGTCAAGGGGAAAGCCAGGTTCACTTAACAACTGTGTTACCAAATTAACAACTTCAATGATTCACTTAACGAACGTGTCAAAAAAAAGGTCGCAAATGGGGCAAAATTCACTTAAGTGTCTCACTTAGCAACAGAAATTTGGGTCTCCGTTATGGTCGTAAGTCAAGGACTATCTGTAGTATGTTCTGTATTCCTGAAAGACTACAGTGCATTAGCAAAACAAAGGATTTCGTTTGTCAGCCCTGCAGCTTTTATTTCATCGCTGATCAATTCCTGGAGCTGCTGGTTGGTTCATAGGACACCGTTGCATCCCTGAATGAGTGGCTGCTCTGCCCTTTTCTTTATTTTGTCCTCAGGAGGCCTTTTGAGAAGCCATGATACATGTGTGTGGGGAGGAGATGAGCAGGCCGAGCCTGAAGGGGGAGTCAAATGCATCATCAGTTTGGAATCACTATGCCGCCATAAGAGACCTAAGTCCAACCTCCCTTGAAATCTGTCGATTCTGATCTGGCACTAGTTGCCTTGACCAGAGGCCAGCAATCTTAAACACCCAAAGAGCCACAAAGGTCCTAGCCGGAAATGCCCCATTCAATTCTGGAGCTGATCAGAAATCTGGTTCGCCCACCACAGAGTCTTCTCCTAGCATGGCATCCTTTTTCCTCTGCTGACCAGAAATCTGGTTCACCCACCATAGAGTCTTCTCCTAGCATGGCGTCCTTTTTCCTCTGCTGACCAGAAATCTGGTTCGCCCACCATAGAGTCTTCTCCTAGCATGGCGTCCTTTTTCCTCTGCTGACCAGAAATCTGGTTCGCCCACCATAGAGTCTTCTCCTAGCA